CTTGCCGTGACTTCCCCGGTACGTTGCATTGGTACTAGGAGGGGTGGTCAGGAACGGTCACGGGCGCTGGTAGTCGATTCGGGCCCAGGATGTCGCTGACTAGCCTCGGCTCGGCCGTTGCATCTTCTCCATGGAATGTCGCAGGCACGCGGTGGAGACGCCAGTACCTCCTCGGCCTATGGGCTCTAGACCCCAGTTGAGCCGCATCCGCTGCCACGCCCCGTCCCACAGCCGCCTCTATCTCTGCAAAGGCCCGCTTCACAGGCTCCCTCCTGTCTTCCGCCAGGTCCACATTCTCCAGAATGTACAGCACCTCCCCTTGCTTGTTTTGAATCATTTTCAACACTTGTTAAAGGTCCCGGATCGAGCCCCCCTCGCATCTTCCATCCCTTGTCCTTCCCCAGCCCGAGAGTACCCCTGACACTCCCGGCCGGCTACCACCAGGTCAATCTGCCCCCACTTCTCTAGATGCTCGTCACTAATGTTTCGAACGTCGTCCACGGTGGCCTCGTCCTCCGCTGGGATGGCCGTGCTGAGCATTTGCTGTGGGCAATCCTCCAGGAGCTTCAAGGCATGGTGCACTGCCATCCTCCGCACCTCTGGGTCTTTCTCCACATGCACCCATTTCCTCACGAAGCACCCAGCTTTCAGGGCGGATGCCAGCCCCGTCCCTATCCCCCCGTACAGTTCCAGAACACACAGTGTGCTTTCCAACGCCCACACCCGCATGATTCGTTCCTTCAAGGACGGCGGGCCTCCTCCCTGTACCCTCCGTTCGGTCCTGCCCTCGTACTCCTGCGCGTATCTGTCCCAGGTCCAGTCATCCAACTCCGCCGTCAGGTCCGTCTTCTGCGCCTGGTACGCCTCCCTCGGCTCCTGCCTGACAAATTTTACTGGCAACGTACCGACGGAACTTTTCGGATCCCAGTACTGCACCCGGTATAAGACTTTCTCCTGCCACGTGCAGATTGTGGCGCCCACCTGGTAGAGCAACTCCATCCCGACTAGCACGTCGTAGTCCTCCGATTCGGGGCATCCATTTCGGCTCCCCTCCTTCAGCCGTCATCAGGAGTATGCCCCTTTCTACCAGATGTCCCGGCAAATCGAGTTTCACTGCTTCGCTAACCCCTTGCCGATCAGCTCGTTATGAGCCCCGGTATCTATGATGGTTTGCCCCACGGGCATCCCGCCCACCGTCATACTCCCTTTCTCGGCTATCAGCACCGAGGCCTGGCATACCAACCTCTCGTTAGGATGCCTCCGCATCCCGGCTGTGCTACTCCCTCCTCGGTGGTTCTCTCTCCTGCTCCTTTCGTTGCTGAGGCTGCTCTCCTGCGTCGCGGTCACCCTCGGTCGCAGGTCTATCTCCTCTCTCCCGCAGGGGGTAGGCCATGCACTCTTTGATACTCTTCTTCCCCCTCCTCATCTCCTTCAACCTCCTCGTATGTCAGCATTGCCCGTCCCTTCGGTACTGTCACTGAGGTTTTCTCCAGCTTCAGCTGCAACCGGCGTATCTCTGCCTGCAGTTCCTCCTTACTGCTATGCCCCTCCTCTCGCCTCTTGCTGTAGCAATCCTCCTTCCGATGCCCCTCTTTCCGCAGTTCTCGCACACCGGGGCCTTCGGACAGTCTCGCTTGAGATGTCCCGTATCTTCGCATTCGTGACACCATCTGCCTTCTGGCCGGCTGGTAGCGGCTCGTTCCTGCTCTGGCACGGCTGCCGCGGCCCACGACGTCTTAGCTTTCCCTCGCGATTCGCCGTCCTCCAAGTCAAGCAGGCGTTGGGCGTGTTCGGTCCTCTTAGCTAAGCGTACACCTCTTTCAGCGTGATATCCGCACCGACGCCGTATACGGTGTTGCGGACAACGTTCCGCGGGTCTTCGTCTAGCCCCCGGACGAACTTCTTCACCAATATCCTATCCTCCTTACTTTCCAAATCGTCCGCCAGTTCTCGTAATCTGCAGTGGTAGGCGAGAAGCGATTCATCTCGCTTCCGGCGAAAATCACGGAATTCCTCCACTCTAGCTTTAGTCTGCCCCATGAATTCTTTCTTCAGCATCTCCACGAACCGTTTAGTAGGGTTCTCGATCATGTCGCATTTCAACTCCTCCAGCACTTCCTCTCGGACCATACGGTAGTACGTCTCGGCCTCGCCCGCCAACGTCACCACCATCCTCCGAAAGAATTCCCCCGGGTACATCCCATCTCGTTCCCAGCAATACTTGACCGTTTCTAACTGCATTAAGTAGTTTTTCAGCGTGGGCCCCACTCCAGGGATCCCCGTAAAGTGCTCTGTCACTTCGATTTTCGGCAGACTGGCTGACGTCCACTTCCATGCTCGGCTCACTTCCGGGGTCAACACTTCTTCGGCTTCCATTGCGGCGCGGTTTTCTACGATCTCTTGGCGTGACGGCGTCGGTCCCGGCCTGCTAACATTCCTCCGTCCCCATTCTTTGGTCGCTTCTCCCGCCCGTTGTTCCATTCCCGGCATCGATCTCGGCGAGGTCTGATCTCTCTGTCTTTCCCGGCGTGCCCTTGCCTCGCTTGCCCATCTTTCGTCCAATGGGATTCCGCCTGGGTCCGAATTAATGGGTCGCGAATCTCCCATCTGGTGCCCTGCTTCCCATGCTCTCTGCTGTGGCGTGCGGTAGGAGGGAGATCTGAGTGGTTGCGTCGCGGGACCAGTCGTTCCGATTTCCCCTGGTGCGGTCGTACTTGCTTGTGCTCGCCAACTCGGCGCCGCCTCTACTTCCTCCCTGCCGTATCTTTGTCCTGATCTAAGTCTGAACCGGTCGTTCATCGCTCGTCGGCGAGCGTTCTTTTGCGTGTTAGTTAAAAGGTATCCTCTCCCGGCCAGGAGGGGTCTACCTCTAGATGCCAACTCGGCTGACTCTTCAATGCTGATACTCTGTGCTTAGTGCTTGCAGGGTTTGGCTTCACTTGGGCTTGTTGCTAGGTGTTCGCTAGACTCAATTGCACCTCGGTTGTGAAAACGCAAGCAAAGGACACCTACTGGCATGTTGCTTAAAACCGGGGTGCACATTCAGCTGAATGTGCATCAAAGGTTATCCCTTGACTGAGTGGGTTACGAGGTGTGCTTTCAACCCCTTCAAGTCGAAATTCGTTTCCCCCCTCCCCCGCAATTTCGTTTCCCCACGCCCCCGCAATTTCATTTCCCCCTCCCCGTCGAAATTCGTTTCCCCCCTCCCCCGCAATTTTGTTTCCCCCCTCCCCCGCAATTTCGTTTCCCCCCCCTCCCGCCAATCTGTTTCATCCCTCCCGCCATTCGGTTTCACCCACTCCCGCCATTTCACCCCCTCCCGCCACCTACGAAATGCCCGAAGCTCTAGCGGAATCATTTTTTTGTCGCCCCTCGTGAGCCAATCACTGTTTTTCTCCAAACCCCCTTCCCAACATCTCAAGCCGAACCGCGTTGAATGTGCACCCTGGTTTTAAGTAAAGTCTGGCGGTGGTTACCGTTGCTTTGTAACGGTGCCTTCACACTGCCAACGAATCCTATTCTCCCGTCCGATACTTTGAGTTCTCCCCCTACCTCGCTATAGTTTCAACTATGCACTTCCTATTGTCCTGCTTTTATATTACTATATCTATTTTTTAATTGAAAGCATGACAGTTCGGACAACGCTGAGATCTTTGGCAGAAATGACAATGCCTGCATCTGAGTCGGATTTCAAGGAAGCTAAGTTCATAACATCAACAGGACGCGAAGAGACTACTACTACCTTCAGCATGGCTATCCATTTTCATGAAAACGGTGACTACTGTCACAGAGAGATTTTTGGAGGCGGATACTGTAAAGTGGATCTGGACGGGTGGAAGGCAGATGAGGTTGACGTTGCAGGCACGATACAAGTTGGATGGACTAACATGGCAGATACTTCAGCTGAATACCCTCAAGAAGTTTTTATAACTGTTGATGATACTAATCTATGGCGTGACGCCATAGCTTTTGATGGTCGTGCTATGGTGCTAGCAAGGAAGGTCGGAGCAGTAGCAGCTGCAGTCTTCCCTCAGCCGTTTGGTGCAGCTCCCGTGAGGAAATTCACGCGACGGTTGTGGGTACACCAGAAGGCATGTGTGGATGAAACCGCTCTCCACCGTTGAAAAAATGCAAGAGTTGTTGCCACTGAGGATCACCACGCTCGGCAACGCTGCTTCGGCAACACTCAACAAGGCACACGGAAAGAAGGTGGCAGCAGGAAACAACCAGGGCTGACGCATGGCAACAATACTCAAGAAGCCTCCATGCGGGCAGGATAAAATGTTTAGGCACTTGATCTATAAGCCCCCGTAGAAAGCTGCGAGGGTACGGTATACACTACCTATGCCCTCTAGTTCCGGTTACGACCGTCGGTGTTATTGCGTTGTATAATGCACTTTCACCTACAAAAAAAAAAAAAAAAAAAAAAAAACGCACACACACACACACACACATACACACACACACACACACACACACACACACACACACACACACACACACACACACACAAACACCCTATTTAAATACTCTCCTTGTCTTCAATTCGACACTGTCTTGCATCCGGGTGATGACGGTATGGGCTTGTGTCAAACTATGTTTATATTTGTGTTAGATTTGCTAGTCTATAGTGGGGTACATCTTAGGGGGTACAACAACACATTTCTCGACATCCCACTTGTATCTCACTTTCTCCTAGTCACAACATTCCGCTACTACTCTGAGACTGCTTCACATCCTAGATACAAAGGCACCAATCTGGTCAAGGCCTCCGAAGCGTGCTGAGTGATGGGGCCCACGAGCACCAGAAAGAGGAGTTCCTGACCTACGGTACTTCAGCGAAGCATCGAAATAAAGCCACATCTCTCTGCCGTACGGCCCCTACCATGGAGGCTAACCATCTGCTACCATACCACCGTAGCGTGAATGAATGGGGTAAGTACTGGTAAGATACGGCGATGGGGTAAAAAACAAAGAGGGAGAAATGACAGGTTCAACTCTCAGTCAAAGCTACCATCACAAGGTGAATGCTCGTACCATTCCCTTCCTCTGAGAGAATCTCTCAGGTCTGCCGGCACATGGGGAATGGGGCCATCGCAGGAGAGTCTGAAATGGCGGAGCGACGTGAAGGCGGAGAGGAAAGGCGGGAGAGAGTGCAAGCGGCGCCAGTGGAGGAGGTCGAGACGAGTGAGGCGGGAGAATTTCACCAGTGAGGATGGGAGGTGCGGCAGGTCGCAGCGACAGATCTGAAGTGTGGCGAGGAGAGGTGGGCACGTGAGATAGGGCTGGGAGCAGCCTCTGGTGATGTTGGAGAGGCGGAGGGTGTGCAGGGAGGAGAAGCAGGAGAGGCATGCAAGGAAGTCCCGGCAGTCAGCGTTGTCCACCACCAGAGTGGTCAGCGCCGTCAGCTGCGTCAGGTGAGGGTCACTGTCATACCCCGACATCTTTGCACAGTCCAAGTGCAGGAAACGGAGGTTGGCAGAGAAGCCGCTCTCCACCTTCCAGGACACATATCGGCTGCCAGCGAGAGCCATGTGTTCGAGGGCAGGGAAGAGCGACATATCCACATTGGAAGTGGGGCCTGACGTTACCAGCTGCAGCACCTTGAGCTTGTGAAACACAGGCGCCCTCCATTCGTCGCCGTTTCTGCGCCAGCTATCCGTGCAAAGATCTGCCGAGGTGTAATTGAGGTAGTCGGCTCGAACGTCCAGCTGCTCCAGGGATGGTGCCACACGGGCAATGAGCCGAGCCACGTGCACAGTTGTATCGGGGCATTGCACGCGCAGGCGACGCAGACGGGGCAGGCGGGGCAGGCAGGCTCCGTTGTCACGACCGATAAAGAGGTCGTGCAGGCGAGTGAGGCGAGAGAGGCCGCGGTGGAGGGAGCAGGGAGCGGTGTTGTTGACTCCGCTGCCTTGTGCGCGGTGGAGGGATGGGAGGGAGAGCGAGGTGAGGCGGGTGAGGTGGCGAATGAGAGGAGGGAAGAAGAGGTAGTGGGAGAGAGAGAGAGAGGTGAGGTTGCAGAGCGGCAGCAGTCTCTCGTCAGTAATTTCCGAGACAGCGCATGCATTAGGAAGCCCATTGATAACCTCCTCCTCCTCATTGCTTTCTTCCTCTGCTGCAACCTCCCCTACCTCCTCCTCCGCTTCCTCCTCCGCTCCCACCCCTTCCTCCGCGTCATCCAGTCCCGGAATACATAGGTTGGTGTCGAGACGTGTCAGGGAAGTGAGGCAGGAGAAGGAAGAGGGCATGGTGGAGGTGGGGAGGTGTAGGGAGAGGGAGGAGAGGCAGGAGGGCAGCCCCAGTAGCAGGTCGCCAGAGACGCTGCTCCAGCTGCTGCCCTCCGTGAGGTGGTAGTAGCGGCTGAGGGTGCTTGGCACGTGCAGGGAGAGCGAGCGGAGGGAGCGGAGGGGGGCGAAGGGGGAGGGGAGGGAGAGGCGGGGCGGCATGGGGTCTGCTGGGAGGGCGAGGGCGAGGGAGGTGAGGCGCGAGAGGAGGAGGAGGGAGGAGGGGAGGCGGGAGAGAGGGAGGGAGAGGGCGGTGAGTTGTGGGCAGCGGAGGAAGAGCGAGTCGGGAAGTTTGAGTCTGTCTGTGAGGGTCTCCCCTTGAAGGTGCAGCTGCTTGAGTCCCCGGCATCTCTTCAGCACGGCAAACAGCCCCCTCTCCATCTCCTCGTTCGCCTCCCCCCACCATCGCCGCACCTTCCTCTCCATCCCAGCATCCTCGAACCAGTCCTTCCGTCCATACCCCCACTCGCAGTTGGCTGAGAAGCCGGGCTCCAGGAGCAAGGAGAGGGAGGTGAGAGCAGGGAGAGCGGCAGCAGCAGCGAGCAGAGAGCGCAGATGGGAGGGGCGGAGGGGGTAGGCCGTGGTGGAGACGAGGGGAAGGGCGAGCGTAGAGAGAGAGGGGTAGTGGGCGAGGGTGTGCGTGAGGGAGGAGGGGGAGGGGAGCGAGGCGAACCAGATGGGGGAGAGGGGTCGCCAGGTGGTTAGGTAGTGGGTGAAGCAGGTGGAGAGGGAGGAGGGGGTGATGGGAGGGGGGAGGGTGAAGGGAGGGTGGGAGGAGGGGAGCAGGGAGAAGGGGGAGGTGGGAGAGGAGTGAATGACCCAGAAGGGAGAGTCAGAAGGGAGCCACGAGGAGGAGAAGAGAGACGAACCGTTGACACCTGCTGGTGCTCTCATCTCGTGATGGCTTGTTCTGCAGTCTGGTTTGGCAGAAGAAGAGGAGGAGGAGGAGAAAGGAACGTGGAGCAGGGGGAGGGGCAGCCAAGTGAGCGTGAGGGGGTGGAGGGCGAGGGCGAAGCAGGAGGTGTGGAGGCGGCACCAGTGGTGCCACTCGCGGCACACCAGTCTCACTCTCGCCTGCTCCACAGGACTCTGCACCCGCTGCACCACGCCTTGTAGCACCTCCGGTGGTAGTAGCTGCTGCACCCGCGTGCTGCTGCTGGCACTGCTGCTGGCGGCACTGCTGCTTCTGGGAGTGCTGCTGCTGCTGTTCCGTCCATGCTGTAACATCTCTGCTGGCACCTCCTCTGGTGTCAACAGCGACTCATGATTGCTGTCACTCGCATCTTTGCGTGAGCCGCTCTCCTTCACCTCCTGTACCCCTTGCACCAACTCCCCTCCCTCCTCCGCCTCCTGCTGCTGCTCTTCCTCCTCCTGCCCCTCTCCTCGTACACCCTCACTCCCCCACTCCCACTGCTCTTCCTCTTTCCTCCCCACCTGCCTCCACCACTCCCTCTGCTCCTCCTTCTGCTCCTCACTCAACACCGATCCCTCAAACACACTCTGAAGTCTCGTCTTCCTCCTCCTCTCCTCCTCAATTTCGTACGCTGTCTTCGGTCTCCTCCCTTGGTGCTCCTTCCCCCGCCCCTTCCACTTCCCCTCCTCCTCCTGCACTCTCGCCCAGCTTTTCCCCTGCAGATACCCTTCAAGCCCCACAGGGATCACGACAGGGTTGTAGGGACGATCAAAGGAGAAGTGGGTGAGGGAGGAGAAGGAGGAGAGGAAGGAGGGGAGGGCGCGGAGCGGGGTACACTGGAAGAGGTGGAGGCGAGAGAGGGAGGAGAAGAGGCGGAGGCAGTCGGGGAGGAGGGGAGTGTGGGAGTGGCAGATTTGGAGCGATTTGAGGTGGGGAGGGCAGGAGAGGGCGGAGTGGTGGTTGTGCGTGGAGAGGTTGAAGATGCGGAGGGCAGTGAGGGCGGGGAAGAGGGCGAGCGAGGCGAGGAAGCGCGAGGAGTGCGGGTAGGACCCCACTATGAGCGTGCGCAGGTGGGGCAGCACGGGCAGGGGGGCACGTGGGGGGGAGTGGATGCGGAGGACGGTGAGGTTGGGGAGGAGGTGTGGCAGGATGGTGGGTGCGTGCATGGGGGGGTGGGACGGCCATGGGGAGTCTTGGATGGCCACGTGGGTCAGGCGCGGCAGCTCGCCCATGAATGCGAGCGTCTGCTGCTGCTGCTGTGGCAGCTGGTCTGCATGTCCTGCTGTCATGTGCTCTTGCCCTGTGTGAGAACTCGCATGGCTGCGCACATTGCACAGCACAAGCTCTTCAAGGAAAGGGAAGAAGCACACAGCTGTCGTCTCTGCTGCACCACATGCGCCCTCCTCCTCACCACATGCGCCCTCCTCCTCGCCACATGCGCCCTGCCCCACATCTCCCTCCCCCATTGCCTCCCCCTTCGGCCCCCCCCACCCATACACAGCCACGAGGGGCGAGCCTTGGATCTTGAGCGACTGCAGCTGAGGGCACAGCCGCCCCCACACCGCCAATGGGATGACGCCAGCTGTCCCCGTGAGAGTGACGTGGCGGAGGGAGGCTGACGAAGGGGCTGCTTCGGGGCACAAAAGAGGTTCGGTGAGACCCCTGGCAGGTTCGGTGTGGCAGAAGGCTGGTTTGGCCGGACCCTCACCATTCACGTGCAGATGAGACAAACGGGGCCAGTGGGCGAAGAGGGCGAGAGAAGCGGGGGAGTGGAGAGGGGAGGCGAGGGGGATGGAGAGGAGAGTGAGGGAGGAGAGGGAGGAGAGGCAAGGAGGGAAGGTGCGGTGAGCAAGAAGAGAGAGAGAGGTCAGGTTGGGGAGGGAGGCTAGGCACTGCTGGTGGCACTGGTGCGGGTGTGTAGAATCGTGGGGGGGGAAGAGGGCGTTGAGGCCCGTGCAGTGCCACTCGCCTCCCACGTTGGTGCTGAGCTGCTGCAGGCGCGTGAGCGACCACAGCGAGGCAGGCAGCCACCCCACCACCGAGTCCTCCCCTCCCCACCCATCGCCCACCCATCCCCCACCCTCCTCCTCCCCATCCCCTCCTCCCTCCGCCCTCCCACCACGCCTTTTTCTCCTTTCCCCTTCTGCTGCTTTTGGCTTCGCACACACTAGGAACGTCAAGGACTGCAGGCTCGGTCCGAGCCCAGCAAACAGGTCTGGCGAGAGAGGCTCGGAAAGGCGGGTGGTGGGGGTTCCAAGGGAGAGGTGGAGGAGGGAGAGGAAGGAGAGAGAGTGGAAGGGACTACCGGAGAGGAGGGGATGGTGGGGAGCAGAGAGAGAGAGGCGGAGGGAGCGGAGGGAGGAGAGGTGGGGAAGGAGGTAAGGCGGGAGGTCGGAGAGAGGCAGGGAGAGGTGGGCGAGACGGGCGAGCAAGGCAGCTACTTCTTCACTCATTGTGAGATATTTGTTGCTACAGAGGCTGAAGTGCAGCGAGCGTAGATGCGGACAACTCGTTATAAGCTGCCTCATCTGCTCCGACTGAGTGTGCTTCTTCCATCCCCAATCCCTCGGCTTTGCCAGTTCCTCGTGAAATGGGCACGAGGCGTGTCTCGGCGGCTCAGAGACAAGGTGCAGCGACCGCAGGTTCACGCATGAGCGCGCCAAGCCCATCATTTCCGAAAGCTGCCACGCCTGGTGAGAGGAGTATTCGAGAGTCACGGGCATGTGAAGCGCGCTCACGTGCTGCGGGTGTCGCGACAGCAGCTGCTGGAGACGCGTGTGCAAGGCAGCGGGGAGCGGAAGGGGGCGGATCTCCAGGCGTTCATCCGTGGAGAGGGAGGATTCGGAATCGGGGCCGGAGCAGCCAAAGCTGCAGCGGTAGTAGGCGCGGCGAATCAGGCGCCCCAGCTGCTCCATGCCCATCAGCTCGCCGCTGAGGAATCGCGCTGCATGCCGCCTCTCTGCTACCGACGCTGTCGCTGTTGCTGCTGCTGGCGCTGCTGCTGCCATCTCTGCCTCGGCTGCGGCTGCGAGTGCAGGCGGTGGTGGCGAGGACGGAGGTGCCAAGTCGGAGGGGGAGTGAGATTCAGGACCTCTCGCCCAGGTCCCTACGCGCGGCGGATCTTCCGTCGCAAAGCGCGCCGATTCGCACGTCTCAAGGCCCGGCGGGTCGTCCATGTCAAGACGCGGCGGGTTGTCCGTGGTCCACAGTCTCGCCCGCGACGGGAAGCACGGCTCTTCCAAGCGGTCATCACGGCACGTGCTGCGCGACGTGCAGGTTGGCTGGCTGTTAGCGCTGCTGTCTGGCCCTCCGTGTCCGAGTTTCACGAGCCGCCATCGAAGCGAGTGCGCGTCGAACAAGCACGCGAGCGCTGTGTTGCTGATAGACTTGGCGGTGGTCTCCGAACTCATCGTCGCATGGCTCGCGCTCGCGACGAGCCGCGCGCGAAACGCGACAGTCGCGAGCTTTTTTGCGTCTGAAGGGACGACGAGAAGCGGTGACGGGTGAGCTAGGTTCTGCAATTGCGGACGGCGAGCTTAGGGGGCGGCGACAGAGAGAAGAAGGATCGTATTCTCTAGAAGCGAGGAAGGGTAACAGCTACTCTAAGGGCGTGTCCCACGAGTTCGTTTACAGTTCATGTTCATGTCTGTTACCCTATTTTGCGATTGTAACCCTCTACTGTATACATGTGCCTTAAATGACGCATGACAATTGACGCATTTCCCGCGTCGATGTGTTCGTTTGAACGCGTTTAGAAAGAGAACCTACGTACGTGCGATCACCTCGAACGGGTCCGCGTGAGGGGTTACCGTAAACTCCGAATTCGCCCAACGTAAGGTCTCGCGGAAAAAACGAACGTCGCCAGGGGTACCGAGTCGCGCCCCAGTACCGAGGGGCATTCGATTCGCAACTGGGGCGGGTTACCGCTCGCGGATTCTGTCAATTGTGAATCGCATGACGTCTTTTGTGTGGGCAAACTATGCGTCCGCCTGGTGCAATTCCGTTTTGCTCGATGCTGACACATTCCGTTTTTTCTCCGTCAGAGTGTACACTCTTTTGCTGACTCGCAGTTTACGTAAAATTTTAGGATTTTCCCCAAAACGAACTCATGGGACACGCCCTAAAGTCCTAGAGTTGGTCGCACTGGCTGTATCATGTTTGGGCCAACAACTGCCCATTTATGTGGAGGGTGGTGTTGGTTGCCTTGGCTGTGTGTGTCAGGGCAGAATTATCACTTACTGCTTTCGTTCACACCAAGCTTGGCTAGGCGAAATAGGCGGAACAGGATACCGGAAATATGCGAGTGGAGGGAGGCAAATACGCGGCCTGCGACTTTCCGTGGCGACTCGAAGAAGCCCACTGGCTTTTTCTGCTGCTGTGACTGCGTGCGACCATAGCGAAATCAGACACGCTGGCAAAGTCCCGTTTGACCGCAGAGAAAATCCGGTAGCGCGCGCCAAATGTGGCGTGTGGGGGTGGCTGCTAGTGAGATTCAGGGTTTTGCGGAAACTCCTGGGCTTGGTGGGTGCGCGCCTGGGTCTAGTTCGGTTGTGGAGGACCCAGATTGTGAAATTACAGTATCTAGCCTACACTGGAATCCACGCTCCACATAATTCCTCAGAACTGGAGGGTCCTATATCCGGGAAAACATCGTGTCGCGTTACCGTTGAAGCTTTTCGCTACAGTGTTCGCACATGCCATCACTCACACACCTTTAGCCCCTTCACTGCAACCTTCGCTTGCTTGTTCAGTTGCTCACGTAACACCATACCAGACTGTCGAAGTACGAACAGTTTGACACGGACCTGCTAAAAGTGCTGCACTATAAAAAATGGTTGGCTGGTGAGGCACACACTACACTGATACACCTTATGGCACCAACTTGATGTTGGCATGAACACGCCTCATTGAGCAAATCAATGTGTACATTTTATTACCATACATTATTGTCAGCAAATCATGGAGGTGAAAGTGGCACGGACGGTGATTGGGCGTGGCCTGAATGTGACGAGGCCATCGAGGAGAGAGACGAGGAAGAGAGTGAGGGGACAGGCATGCCATGCCCCTGCCGTTGCACCTCGATCGTCGCGTGCCGGATTCCCCACTGCTTCTTGCACAGGCGCCGGGCCGCTGCCGCAATTTCTTCAGGCGCAGCAGTTGGGAGAGCGAGGATGCGGCAGGAGAGCACAGACTTGTTGAGCGACAGCTGCCACACGTGCAGGCTGTGCACCGATGCCACTCCTGGGAGCTCCGACAGGGTGTGGCGCACCTGACGAGGTGAGGAGAAGGGAGGGGAGGAGGGCGGATAGGGGAGGGGAGATGAGGCTGTGGCAAGAGGCGGAAGCGTGGGGAATGTGGAGAGGAACAGCATTATGGAGATGTGGGGAATGCAACTGAAGCAGAGGGAAAGAGCAGGGTTGAGAGGAAGAGGAGGTGGCAGAGCATATGCATAATCATATGTGAGCATACATGGCTGCACTTACATCCGCATGTCCACACACTCTTCAAGCAAAGAGGGATGGATAGGAGGTGTGCAGTGGCATCGTTTCTCATCAGTGTCCACACTGCACCCCCAAGAAGAGGGAAACGGCAACAATTCCCTCCTCTCCAAATGCATACCTCCTCTGTGTCCACGTTGCGAGGAGCCGTCTGCAGCAGCACGGAGACAATGTCACCCGTGATGCCCGTGGTGGTGGCCAGCACCAGGAACGAGAAGAGGAACGTGCACAGCAGGTCCACCCACTGCCTGCTCTCCCCACACACACACACCGGGAAATCACACAACTAGAGGGATTAGGCATAGCGCTTCAAGTCACATGTGGCTTGCAGGAATGGGGGCTGAATGGCATTGACGCGAAAGCGTGCTTGTGCGAAACAAGGGCAGAAACCAAGCAAGCTCCACACCCAAGAGTGCTTGCTTGTATGTGAAGAACCAAGGGAGCTTACATGGAAGGGTAGGCCCAGATGACAGCACCAGCAATGAGCACGCCAATGGACTGCAGCAGGTCGCCCAGCACGTGCAGCAGCGCGCCCCTCATGTTCACATTCACGTTCAGGTCCACCCGCATGCTCACGTCCCGCTCCCTGCCATGCCCCGATGGCACCACGCCCCCCGCCCCTGCCGGCACTGCTGCTGCCTGGCTGCGCCACACTATGGACGCCACGGCTGTAGCCACGCCCGCCACTGCTGCTACAGCTGCCGTTGCTGCTGCCTCCACTGCGCCTGCTGCTGGCTCGGGAAGAGAGGCTTTGGAGTGGGTTGGTGGCTTCTTGCCGTGGCTGCAGCTGTGCGCTGGCTTTCGCTGCTCCCCTTGTCGGCTGCTCTCCTTCCGGGTGCCATGCAGGGCCGGGGAATGGGAGTGGGTTTGCACTTTGTCATGCGAGTGTGTGCAGTCTTGGTTCAGAATGAGAGGCAGGGAGGACTCGTCGCACACAGCAAGCGAGGAGGAGGAGGAGGAGGAGATTGCGGACAGTTCAATAGGGGTAGTGGTGGGAGACAAAGCCAGTGCGTCGCCTGTGCCAACATCACAAGCATGAGTGTGAGTGTGAGCGGCAGCATGAGCAGGAGAAGTCGCGAGGAGTGGGAGCTCAACAGTCACGTGGTCTGTGTGACACCCAGATTGTTGTTGGTGGTGGTCGTGGGTGTGGTCATGTGCATGGTGCACGGCATGGCAGGGAGCAGCAGCGTCAGCGTGCACGTGCGAGTGGCTGTTGGAATGGCCATGTGAGCATCCCAGATGCTCACTTGCATGGCCATGCCCGTGGGAGTGTGCGTGCTCCGTAGTATGCTGCTTCGAGTGCGAGTGATTGCGTGAATGCGAGTGGTCATGAGAGTGGTTGTGGTGGCTGTGGTCGTGCTCGTGGGCGTGCGAGTGCGAGTGCGAGTGCCCATCAGAGCACGAGGTGCCCAGGTGCATGTGGAAGTGGGGGATGGACGAGGCGGCGCCGTCGTTGCCAATGACGGCGGGGGTGTGCAGGCACACGGCCATCACGATGTTCGCCACTGTACCGAACGCCGCGATCACGAACATGAGCGCCCCATCCACGGGAGGGTGCTCGTAGAACAGCCTGCACTCGCGGAATTGGAGGGTTTCGGCAGGGCACGTGGGAGCAACTCGGTTAGACGCCGAGATTAAAGGTTTAGGGGAAAGGGGAAGCGGGTGAAAAAGGGTGTGGGGTGGGGGTCTGTGGGTGGGAAATCGGCAGTGCACGACGGTTGGGAGGAGGTTGAGAAGCGGTTGGGAAACAGTTGCTAGTTCAAGGGCGGGCCGGGACAAGCGCATGGAGGGCGAGCGAGCGAGCGTGTGCGCGGAGCAGAGCGGAGCGGCGCACCTGGAGATGGCTTCGTAGAGAATGAGCGCCGTGACGACCCAGATGAGCGCCACGGACGCCAGCGCGCCCACCACCTCCGCGCGCACGTAGCCGTACGTGAACCGCGGGTCGGGCCGCCACCCCGCCATGCGCACCGCCAGCAGCGATATCACGAGCCCCGCCACGTCCGTTATAGGTGCGCCGCGTCCGTCATTATCGCGAGGCTGTTGGCCAGTAGGCCTGGGGGGAAGGGAGACGGAGGGAGGTATGACGGGAGCGATAATTAAACTGGGCGAGGAGGCGGCGAGGGGACGATTAATATCGAGAGAGGAGTTAGGTTAGCGCGAAATCAGGGACTACGCGGGACGGAAGGAAAACGTAAATGTCCCGGCGCGTGGATTACGGGCATGGGGGGGAAGGGGAGGGGCAGGGGAAAGGGGTGAAGGTGGCAAAAAAGGGTGAATCGGGAGAGGATACCGAATTAGGGATGAAATGGAGATAACGGGGGGAAAGGAGCAGCGTGAAGGTAAGCGAGGCGCGCAAGAGCACGCACCGCCAACGACCTCGACGAGCATGAAGACGAAGCAGATGCCCACCACCAGCGAAAGCTTCCGCTCCACCAGCCGTCGCTCCTCCGCCTCCGCCAGCTCCGCGTGCAGCTCGCGCGCCTCGTCGTCCTCCTCGTCTTCCACGTCGACGTGCGCCATCGCCGCGCTGCGGTAGCACTCGCTCCGCCACTCCACGTCCGCGAAGCTACTGGTTCCGCCCTCCGCGTGCTGGCCGTCCGTCATGTGGAAGGCTGGTTGACGGGCCGGGAGAGATCACAGGTGCGCGTGGTGCTGAACGTAAAGCGAGGGTTGCAGACAAGAGGACTAATTTGACTGAAAAAATGATATCGGAGGCTCACAGAGGTTGGTCAATTCCGCAAGTCGTGCTCAGGACGACCTTAGAGTGCAGGTGTGATGCTTCGTGATCCTATTTCTAATGACGAACTATTTAAATAAAGGAGAATGGTTTGTGAAAACTAGGGACGGGCTGCTAATCCGAACCACGAGGCTAATCCGAACCTCCTGTGCAGGTGTCTTCCTATCTGAACCAGCGGCGGCGCACAATGCGCTACGGAAATATTGTCAGGAAAGAAAACAGGTAATTTACTCATATGTTTCCTGGAAAAGCAGGGTACAAAATATTTCTTTGGGATATATAAATGCGTCTGGCTTACTGCTACTAAGATCGCCTTCCTGAGATGGGGCCCCATCGAAATGCAGCATCATTGGTCCAGCGTGGCAGAAAACGAGAACCTTGCAAGCTATGCTGACCGAAAGTTGCGCGCTTCCGAAAGTTGTCCCTCACCAAGAACGCATGGGAACATTGGAGGTCTACAGTGGAATAGGAACCTGTCCAAGGACGCCTATAAAGGATCATGCGGAGCGCCTGTGGGGCGGAGGTCTTTATGCCATGTCAGCTCAGTGGGAGTCTGGGCCTTCGGGTGTGACTTGCTTTGATCATCGAACGTCGGTGATTGGTCTGCCAGCATCGACGGCTTGGAGTTGTTTGGGAGGTGAAGTCGATTGCATCGCTGGGTGAACCCAAGCCAATCTGACGTGACCAAGTGCAGATCCCCTTTTTCCCGAAGATACGACTAAGTAGGCAGGGCAGACCCCCTCCCCTGCAAACGAGACAGGACAGGACAGGTCACAGAGGAGAATGAGGGGCACATCCCGTCCACACGTTTCTGGTCCATGTCTGGGTTGCACCTTTACTGCTGTGGACATTCTTTCCTCAGACAAATCTAGCCCCTCGGGTTGCTCACGGTTCAGTTGGGTTCCTCGCGCTTTAATTGTGCTTTTGGAAGCATCTGTACTATAGAATAACTCAAGCTTGACTAAATGAACTTGCTACTATTGTGATAACCAAACAAATAGGATTAGGATAAGGTATGACAGAAAAATGTGGCCTTCTCATTCCGCATAAAAATAACACAATAAATCCATAAAACAAATGTAAGCATATCTAGTTAGGTGATTTGAAGGGCGCATTCTAGCGTACACAGTTACGTTTGCTTGTGTAATATTGTAGGCTAGGGCTAGGATTTTCGCTTCCGCCCCGCCTATTCCCTAGTTACCCACCCACCCACCTAATACCCTCACGCCCCCAGCTAGCACGCCCCTTAGGCCCGCCGTCGCACCCCTAGCGGCCCCCCTAGCCGCCCTTGCCCGCGACTGCTAAGCACGCCCCTGCACCTGCCGCAACCGTGCCTGCCTTGCCTGTGCCACCGCCGCCCGCGCCTGCCGCGCCCTAGCCGCCGCCGCTCGCACCTGCTGCACATGCACCTGTGCTTGCCGCGCCCGTGCCGCTGTTGCTCGTGCCTAGCGTGCACATACCGCCCGCACTGCCATGCCCTACCATGGCCTACTGCGTGCCCTACCGCCGCACCTGTTGTGCACCTGCAATAACACCCTCCGCTGTGCCTGCACCTGCAGTTTAGGGTTGCCTGTCCCCTCCTCCTCCTCCTCCTCCTCCTCCTCCTCCTCCTCCTCCTCCTCCTCCTCCTCCTCCTCCTGTGGCTGTCTCCTCTCACTTGCTGAAGCGGTGCCCCTGCTCCCTTGTTGTTATGGCGACTGACTACGTCCTGCTGAAGGGCGTGTGATCGACTTTGCTGTGCGGCTGTTTGACGTCAAGCTCTACCTGCAGAGCCAAGTTCGAAACGACGTCCCCCTGTACGCCTATGCTTCGTGTGAGTTACCAGCCCTCCCACATCCTTTTGATCTTGCAACTGACGCCTCGTCCGCGCAACACGAGGAGCACTGCGTGGCTCTACTAGCGCACACGCTCTGGGAGGCGTGTGACGTTGCTGCACGACTTGCTATCAGTCGCCTCCTCCAGCAGGCCAAGCGGGCAACAGAAATCTGGGTCTAGTTGTTCAGGCGCTGCTTGCGCTTGAAAGCGAAAGTCTCGTTATCCGAGTCGCGGTGATTGTTCCCACAGTAAGCGCAGACGTGGGTGGAAATGTTGAGCAGGGCGAGAGGGGAGTCATCCTCAAACGGGATGACAGCAGGGATGCGGGATAAGGACGGGTCATCCGGAGGGGGAGAGGGATGCCAGTGAAGACAGGGAGGAAGACCTCCTCGTAGGGGTCGGTGGTACGGTGAAAGAACTGCAGATCCGCGAGCCAAGCCGGCTCGGACGGGTCCGCACCGTGCAGCAGGAAATCGCGGACGTCCTCCGGGGTGTACCCCGGGGGAATGTTCCGGAGCGACAGCGTGGCGGCACCCCCTGCTTTGGCAGCCGTGAAGCCCGGGTTGCGATCTTGAAAAACCTTAAGAAGCACGGATCGAGAGGCATTCAGAGGGATGGAGCGGGGGGAAAGGCGCTAAAAATCCTCTGCCTCTTCCTCCGTCGGCCAGGAGAAGCAGAGCCGTGCGTAGGCGCGACGCGGAACCCGGAGCGGCTCGCTGATGGCAACTTCAAACTCCGGGACAGAGCCGCGGCGGAAGAAATCGGTTTCAGCATGGCGGTGATGCGGGCGATGAGATCCGCGCGGATGGCATCTGCTCCCCTCTCGGGCAGAAGGAGCGTGACCACTGCAAGACGGCGGCGGGTCATGACCGGGCCGGGCCTCGGACGGCGAAGGGTGCGGGGAGGCGCAGGACCAGGAGCGTGGGCCGTCAAGATGGCGCCGACTCCGAGAGCGGCGCCAAGGCGAGGGGAGATCGGACTGGCAGGCCTGCGCAAGGCAGGGGGCGGAGCAGGGGCAGTGAACGCGGGGGAAGAGGCGCCCAAGGGGGCACCCGAGGCGGCGCTGGTCAGGGCAGGAGCAAAAACCGCCATGACACCGCGGGACGGCGCCGAAGGGACGGGCACGGGTGGAGGGCCTTCGACGCACAACGTTTTGGCCGCCGGGGGCTCATCAGCTGCGGGGGGATGAGCAAGGGAGATGGCGGGGAGCTCATCAAGGTGAAGTTCCTCGCCATCGAGCTGAAGGTCCTCGTCAACGAGGGCCATCTCGTCGTCAGGGTTGTGGATCGGAGCGGCCATGAGGGAAGGGGGAAAAAAAATGGAAGGAGAGTAGGCAGTGGGATGAGAAATGCCACCGAGGCTGGAGAATTTAACTGCGTAGGTTGGGGGCGAGACGGCTCGTCGGGCCTGGGGGCAGCCGGGGCGGGAGGAAGGGTGAGAGCAGGGGATAGTGAGAAGGGGAACGTCTGAAACGTGGAAGGCCATAGCGTGAGGGCACGGAGGCGACGATTCTAGAAGCAAGTATGGCGATCCAGGGTAGCGTAGATGAATGCATGCCATTCGTAATGGCGAGGGGGCACAGGCGACGGCCATAGCTTCCCCAAAAAAGAAACCAGGTGCCTAGGCGGCAGCACAAGTCACGTGGTAAGAAAGTTCTGGAGCAGGAGGCTGAGGAAGCAGCGAAGGGAGGAGAGGGCAGAGGAGCAAGGGAACCACGAGGGCGTGGTTAGGAAGGAACCAGCCGAAGTAAGGGGGGAGGTGGGGGAAAATTCGCGCGAGAACAAGGGAGCGGGGGCGGAGGGGAGGTGAAGGGTAGGATGGGGGCAAACCAGTCAGCGAGAGGCAAGCGTTGAAGACCAGTGGGGCGGCAGTGGACTGCAATTCCAACCAGCTGGCGGGGCCGGGGCAAAGCGTGAAACTCCGAAACATAGCTCAAGGAGCTGGCAGAGTCAAGCTCTGGGTGACCTGGAAACATAAAAAAGAAATGGTGACATGGGGCAGCGCAGTGAAACAGGAGTGCAGCGGAAGCGGGGAGAAACGTCGAGAAAATTTTATGGATGGGAAAGCAGCCAGATGAAGAAGAGCACGAATCAGAGCGGAGAAACCATTGCGGAAGAGGAGCTGACGTGGAGTGGTCTCGACCGTGCGGAAATCGAAGGGTCTGGAGGGGGGCAACCTGGTCGGCCAAGAGGGGCGTGGCAAGAGGGGAGAACGGTAAAAGCGGAACGTGGATGGGCGAAGGGCGCGGCAGCCAGCTCAGCGATGTATGAGGCCTGAAATCAAAAGAGAAGGGGAAAACAGCGAGCGACACCAGCCAAACCCAGACGAAAACGGAAAAGGGAAATAAACGGAAAACGAACTTACCTTGGGCCAGTGCAGTGTCGAACGCGGAGAGCCAGCTGAAAAAAGCGGTGGCTTGACAGATGCAGGTCCGCAGAGTAAAGAAAGTTACCGCTACCGTGAGTTCCCAGCTGGGTTGTCGAGGTTGGGGAGGGAAGGCCTCCGTCAGATCTAGATCTGGTTGCATCGTGGCTCGTGCATGCGGGGAAAAAAAGATGAAGTGCGGCAAGGAACCCAGCCTGCAAACGAGATAGGACAGGACAGGTCACAGAGGAGAATGAGGGGCACATCCCGTCCACACGTTTCTGGTCCATGTCTGGGTTGCACAACACTACCTTTTCTGTTGTGGACATTCTTTCCTCAGCCAAATCTAGCCCCTCGGGTTGCTCACGGTTCAGTTGGGTTCCTCGCGCTTTAATTGTGCTTTTGGAAGCATCTGTCAGTATTATAGAATAACTCAAGCTTTACTAAATGAACTTGCTACTATTGTGATAACCAAACAAATAGGATTAGGATAAGGTATGATAGGAAATGTGACCTTCTCATTCCGCATAAAAAATAACACAGTAATCCATAAATCAAATGTAAACATATTTAGTTAGGTGATTTGAAGGGCGCATTCTAGCGTACACAGTTACGTTTGCTTGTGTAATATTGTAGGCTAGGGCTAGGATTTTCGCTTCCGCCCCGCCTATTCCCTAGCTACCCACCCACCCGTCTAATACCCTCATGCCCCCAGCTAGCACGCCCCTTAGGCCCGCCATCGCACCCCTAGCGGCCCCTTCGTGGCCCCTGGCACCCCTAGCCGCCCTTGCTCGCGACTGCTAAGCACGCCCCTGCACCTGCCGCAACCGTGCCTGCCTTGTCTGTGCCACCGCCGCCCGCGCCTGCCGCGCCCTAGCCGCCGCCGCTCGCACCTGCTGCACATGCACCTGTGCCTGCCGCGCCCGTGCCGCTGTTGCTCGTGCCTATCGTGCACATACCGCCCGCACTGCCATGCCCTACCGTGGCCTACTGCGTGCCCTATTGCCGCACCTGTTGTGCACCTGCAATAACACCCTCCGCTGTGCCTACACCTGCAGTTTAGGGTTTCCCGTTGCCTGTCCCGGCGGAAGAAAAAACGCTCGGAACGAGCGCTTCCAGCCCCAAAACGCGGAAGGATCCGGACATGTGCAGGAAATGCAGCGGGTGCTCTTCATTCGCGAGCACCGATGATCGATGATGCTCGCCACCCTCCCACGTCCTTGCTGGCTTGATAATAGGCCCAGACGCGTGCGGCCACGTGACCCGGCGGAAGGAAAAAACCGCTCGGAACAAGTGCTTCCAGCCCCAAAACGCGGAAGGATCCGCACATGTGCAGGAAATGCAGCGGGCGCTCTTCATTCGCGAGCACCGATGACCAGTGATACTCGCCATCCTCCCACGCCCTTGCTGGCTTGGTAATAGGCCCAGACGCGCGCGGCTACGTGACCCGGCGGAAGAAAAGCGCTCGGAACGAGCGCTTCCATCCCCAAAACGCGGAAGGATCCGCACATGTGCAGGAAATGCAGCGGGCGCTCCTCATTCGCGAGCACCGATGACGGATGATGCTCGCCACCCTCCCACGCCCTTGCTGGCTTGGTAATAGGCCCAGACGAGCGCGGCCACGTGACCCGGCGGAAGAAAAACGCTCGGAACGAGCGCTTCCAGCCCCAAAACGCGGAAGGATCCGCACATGTGCAGGAAATGCAGCGGGCGCTCGTCATTCGCGAGCACCGATGACCGATGATGCTCGCCACCCTCCCACGCCCTTGCTGGCTTGGTAATAGGCCCAGACGAGCGCAGCCACGTAACCGGGCGGAAGAAAAACGCTCGGAACGAGCGCTTCCAGCCCCAAACACGGAAGGATCCGCACATGTGCAGGAAATGCATCGGGCGCTCGTCATTTGCGAGCACCGATGACCGATGATGATCGCCGCCCTCCCACGCCCTTGCTGGCTTGGTAATAGGCCCAATTGAGCGCGACCACGTGACCCCGCGGAAGAAAAAACGCTCGGAACGAGCGCTTCCAGCCCCAAAACGCGGAAGGATCCGCACATGTGCAGGAATTGCAGCGGGCGCTCCTCATTCGCGAGCACCGATGACCGATGATGCTCGCCACCCTCCCACGCCCTTGCTGGCTTGGTAATAGGCCCAGTTGAGCACGGCCACGTGACCCCGCAGAAGAAAAAAACTCTCGGAATGAGCGCTTCCAGCCCCAAAACGCGGAAGGATCCGCACATGTGCAGGAAATGCAGCGGGCGCTCCTCATTCGCGAGCACCGATGACCGATGATGCTCGCCACCCTCCCACGCCCTTGCTGGCTTGGTAATAGGCCCAGACGAGCGCAGCCACGTGACCCGGCGGAAGAAAAACGCTCAGAACGAGCGCTTCCAGCCCCAAAACGCGGAAGGATCCGCACATGTGCAGGAAATGCAGCGGGCGCTCTTCATTCGCGAGCACCGATGACCGATGATGCTCGCCACCCTCCCACGCCCTTGCTGGCTTGGTAATAGGCCCAGACGCGCGTGGCCACGTGACCCGGCGGAAGAAAAACGCTTGGAACGAGCACTTCCATCCCCAAAACGCGGAAGGATCCGCACATGTGCAGGAAATGCAGCGGGCGCTATTCATTCTCGAGCACGGCAACGTAGGAGCAACACTTGCCGTTGACCGAGTTCGCCTACGATAATGCATCATCTGCAACGACAAAGCAGTAATTGTTCTACCTAAATTGCGGACTAGATTCGTCAGCACCCATGAACCCGAGCCCCAACAACCTGACCCCGCATGCAACAGATCGCCAAAATTCAGCAAGCTGCTCGGATCCGCACAGTAGAAGCCATTAGAAACGGGAATGTCCTCACTAAGGGAAATGCCGATTGACATCATTGCCCCATCTCCCACCAATCCGTAGATTTCATACTGCTCGACAACCAGAACCTTCACCTGCCCATCGCGCCAAAACTTCGACCTCGCTACTGTGGCCCATTTCTCAGTGATATGATTATGCCAGTCACTGCCGCCTCCTCTTGCCCGCAGATTGCCATCGTTACACGTGTCAAATTGCAAATATGCATGCTAGGCTATAGTGGGGCACACAATATGGGGTACAACACATTTTAGGGTTTGTACTTGTATCACCCATCCTGCTTAGTCAATCGCTCCGCTATTCCTAGTTTATAACATGGTATCATCGAGTAGGTTCGTTCTGCCTGCCCTACTGCCCTACGCGCTACTGCCCGCTGCCGCCCGCTGGCCTACCGCCGCACCGCCCACTACCACTGCTGCCCGCTACCCCGCGCGCGTTACTCTGCGCTGCCGCAATGCCCCGCGCCCGCTGCTCTAAGCTGCCGGGCTGCCCCGCGCTGCCCCGCGAGCTGCCGCGCTGTCCCCCGTGCCGCCACCCGCGCTGCCCCGCTCTGCCCCGCTCTGCCGCCTGCGCTACCCCGCTACGCAGCCGCTGCGTTTCCCCACCTTTGCTGCCGCCCGCGCTGCACCCTGCGGTGCCGCGATGACGGCCGCGCTGCCCCGCGCTGCCGCCCCACCGCCCTGCCTCCTGCCGCACCGCGCCGCCCTGTCGAGCCGCGCCGCGCCGCCCTGCCTACTGCCGTGCTGCGCCACACTTCCGCACCGCGCCGCTCTGCCGAACCAGGCCGCGCCGCCCTGCCTACTGCCCCGCTGCGTCGCACTGCCGCTCTGCCTGTTGGCGAGCCACTCATCTACTGCCGTGTTGTCTGTTCTCCCACTGCACCCCGAGCCACCTCTCGTGCCTAGCTCTGCAGCTCGTTCCTAGTGCTACTACCTGACCTAGTCTCTGTCATGGCGACTTTTACTGTCCTAGCGTTCGACGTAGAGGGGCGCTCTATCGAGTTCGAGTCCTGGCTAGAGGACCTGCACCTGTATCTACAGAGTGTCACCAAGGACGATTTCTCACTGTTCGAGCACACGTCGGGGTCCCTCAAGGCCCCCAGGCCTCCAGTTGAGCCTTCCCCTACTTCTGCAGAGGATGTGCGGAAGAAGTACAGGGCTGACCGTGCTGCCTGCACGCAGTGGACGGCGAGCGACGTAGCTACTACACTTGCCGTCCGCAACCACCTCTCGCCCGACCAGAAGGTCCACTTTCG